AATCCATGTGTGTGTATCTAAAGTGGATGTCTGTGTGTGCGAGTCCATATGTGTGTGTGTGTAAGTCGGTGTTTGTGTGTGTGGGTCGATGTCTGTGTGTGTGTCTAAGTCGATGTGTGTGTGTGTCTTATTCGCCCGGGCAACGCCGGGTACTTCCCGCTAGTCTTACATATGTAACGGCGTAAGTAGCGCAGGAGACGTTTGATGGAGGCAACACGTATTTATTAACAAATGGGTACTATACAGTACGTAGCGCACCCTAACACTGGAAGGGGTAACGGCCCCTTCACCCGGTCTATCCGAGGCAGTGTCCCTCGGCTAACGTTTCCCCGTTAGCTCCTACACTCCTCAAACCCAGACCATCCTATAGAGGCTAACTCACCTGGCCCAGCTTCGGCTCAGGTCCGACCCTCAGCCACACGAGCCTGGCCCTCACAAGGACACAGACCTCGCTGCTCTGAGGTCGCCCCTGGCTTGCCCTGCTCGGCTCTTATAAGAGCAGCGAGTCAGGGTAATCCCAGGGCTAGCTAGCTGGTCTTCAGTCTTCACTGGCTCTTCTGCTCCAACGACTGCCTCGAGCTCTCTCGCACACCGCCTTATATACCCAACTGCCCCCCGAGGGGCGGGGCTGTATGCGGACGTTGATGTAGACACCCCACGCACGGACCGTGATGTAGACACCACCACGTAATGGCTTGCTACACCCCGGTACGTAACACCTCTACACATATAAAAGGCATTTTTTGTCTGTCCGTCTGTGGACGCGCACTTGCGAAAAATTTGGCTCGCAAACCGTGGGGTTTTCGTTAAAAAAAGTAGCCTGATACCACGCCATAAGCCCCGTGGTGAGCCAGCACTATTCCGTTTTCCCATCCGTCAACTTTAAAGTAGTTTTTTGAACAATTGAGTAAATGTGTATTATTATTTAATTATTTTATCGCGAGGCTAAAGTTGCCCTGGGGTTGCCCCTCGCAACGTACATGCATCATCGGTGGGGGTTAGGTGGGATTTCTCCTTGGCATTCAAAATGCAAAATAAATTCACAATGCTGAGGTCAATTCATCAAAGTGTCATGTCCTCTTCTCTCCCCCCCCCCCCCAGCCCAATGTGTGCACTTACTACTATAGGGTCGGTAGATACTAATAATATAGCGCTTAAATAGTATTATTGTAGCGTGGGCAGGGGAATGGTGGTGGGGGGGGGGGGGTAGCGGCCCAGCCCCCAGCCTCGGCCCACTGGGCAATCTAGGCGAGGCCCGGGGCTCTGCATGGGACTAGGCCTCACCACGGCACTCTGTCAGGTGTGTGCTATAGAGTCGATATATACTGCTATAGTGTCAACATGTACTACTGTAGTGATAGTAGGTACCACCACAGTATGTACTGCTGTAATCATACATGTACCACCACAGTCAGTATGCACTGCTGTAGTGAAAGCAGGTACCATCAAAGTCGGTATACACTGCTTTAGTGATAGCAGCAACCACCACAGTTGGTATGCAATGCTGTAGTTAAAGCAGGTCCCACCACAGTCAGTATACAATGCTGTAGTGATAGCAGGAACCACCACAGTCTGTATGCGCTGCTGTAGTGAAAGCAAGTACCACCAAAGTCAGTATACAATGCTCTAGTGATAGCAGGAACCACCACAGTTGATATGCACTGCTGGAGTTATAGCAGGTACCACCACAGTCGGTATGCAGTGCTGTATTGAAAGCAGGTATCACCACAGTCGGTATGCAGTGCTGTAGTGAAAGCAGGTACCACCACAGTCAGTATGCACTGCTGTAGTGAAAGCAGGTATCACCACAGTCGGTATGCAGTGCTGTAGTGAAAGCAGGTACCACCACAGTCAGTATGCACTGCTGTAGTGAAAGCAGGTATCACCACAGTCGGTATGCAGTGCTGTAGTGATAGTAGGTGCCACCACAGTCGGTATGCAGTGCTGTAGTGAAAGCAGGTACCACCAAAGTCGGTATGCAGTGCTGTAGTGAAAGCAGGTACCACCACAGTCGGTATGCACAGCTGTGGTGATAGTAGATACTGCTATCGAGTTGGTAGATATTGCTATATAGAGTTAGTAGATACTAAAACAGTCAGTATATACCACTACGGTCAGTAGATACCTACTATACAGTCAGTAGATACTGCTTTAGAGTTTGCAGTTACTACTATAGTCAGTGGATACTACTATAGAGTCAGCATAGAGTTGGTAGATAATACTGTAGGGCCAGTAAATGCTACTATGGTCAGTAGTTACTACAGTCAGTAAATACTACTACACAGTAGCTACGACTGGCTCAGTAGATACTACTGTACAGTCAGTAGATACAACTACAGAGTCAATAGATACTACTTCCTCTGTTGTATGTAGGGTGTGTACGCCAGTGGCGGCTCCTGCAAAATCTCTCAGGGGGGGCAAATGTCTGGATGATTGATAAGGATAAGGTCCACCCATGCAATGGATAAATTAACAGCTTAAGCATGTAAAGGCAACTTCACTTCTTTAATATTAATGAAAAATAAAGTGACTCTTACAATACATCTTGTTTGTTTCTATATTCACTATTAATACAATCCACTCAAGTTTTTTGTATTAAAGAATCCACTAGGTGGCGACAAATTATATTGTTGGATGAAACGTGATTACGTATGATGACGTAAGCACGTTAGTGCGAGCCCTCCCGGAAGCCATAGAGAATGCATTGTAGTGCCCCCCGTTCGAAAAAAAACATCTTTGAATGTAAGTCTATGGGGCCACTCGGGGCGATTCTCAGCCGGAGTGAAATCGCCCAAAAAGAGGCGGTACTCCACAGAACGTGACATGACGCTGATTGGACTATATCCAGAGGCACAGTGACGGCTAGCGTGACTCTGTGGTTGAATGACATTGGTGGTGCGTCGCCCAATCGCCCTAATGAAGAAACCGCCCCTGGTGTACGCATATATACCTATGCGGGGGTATACATATTTTCTGAGTGGGGGTGGTGATCGACAATTTTCACAAACCTTTGAGATCAACCATTTACCCCCCACCTTCTATAACTTTTGGAACCTCTGCAAGCCTCTTATAATTTTGTTGGTGGAGAAATGGACAAACGGCCCACCAGGCTTTCACAATTGCTTAGTATCTGTGTATGTATATGTAAGGTTTTTAAGAGAAGTTTTGAAATGTATTTTTCGCCCGGGCAACGCCGGGTACTTCCCCCTAGTCTATCTATATATATGATCTGTTAACACCATAGCGTGATGCATGTTTATGTTTTGCAAACTTTGACAGTGAAAAGTCTGGAATCCTGCCCAAATGACTTTGCGAGCTTTGTAGCTCATCTCCTTTTTGAGCCAGATGTAGAAATTCAACATCACTACGGCAGGTGGGAGTTCATCCATAAGACGACCACTGTTTGCCTTACCCCATAAGCTGGTGTATATTTTATCGACCCCTGAGGGATGATTGGCCTAGTCAACCCGCAACCAGACTTTAATCTCTCAACCTGATGACTGCGAGTGGCAACGCTCCCCCTCTGAGCCACCTGGCCAGTTCATACAAGGAAGTCGTTAGCACGGTAATGCGGTAGCATCCTGCGAGTGTGGTGGTGACGTGTGTGTTTTAATGATGCACTCGTCAATGTACACACGTGTGTCGAACTTCTTTGGCACCGTACGTAGCCGACCGTGCTAATCGCTGGAGCGGTAAGTCCTCGCTGCATGCGCCCCGTTCGCACGACGCGTTTTCGAGAGAACGCGGTTCCGCCATTGGGGGAACGCTTCCCACGTAAACGCGGAACACACGCGCAAGCCCACTACAACGTGGTCACTGAGCGGTCGGCTACGAACTACTTTCTCGAGCTGCGCGGCTGAGCGGTACAGTGATGCGGTACGCGGAGTGATAACAGTAATGCGCCGGCGTACCGTCACTTCGGTTCTTCATCCCGTCGTGGAATGACACGCAGGCTGATGTTACAATGATTCGGCATTCCTCGCTGAACGCAGTTTTCGCTTCACGCGGCACTTTTCATGGATGCTTCTGCGACCGGGTTAAGTGAGGGATTACTTTCACGTATTTATTTAAATTGAGTCAGAGCCACAGCGACTGCACTGGCACTCGACGCTGCGATTCTCACTCCAAGCGTGAATTTATTCCGCGTTCATAAATCGTCCCGCTCCATTATTAATGGGGGTGCTGCCGAACAAAATTACTTTCCTTCCAGGCTCTGCTATGTTCTGTGACTCTTTTTATTTTTACCAGGTAAGGCCCACTGAGCTATGCAGCTCTTTTTCAGAAGCGACCTGGCCACATATGATAGCTCAACGAAGCGTCTCATCATGTAGGAATGCACAGCAGCGAAATGCTCGAAACGCACATTGATTCTAAATGTGGAGGGGGAAAAAAACCCGGAGGACACGGAGAAAAATCCACACGGCCACTGGGGAGAGAGAACACGAAAACGCCAAATATACAACAGGCGTCAGGGTTGGCATCACACCCACGACCTCCTGCATACCAGGGGAGGGAGTTAATGTCTCGCCACCGCAACGCGCCTGTGCATTGTCGCGCGCGTCGACAAAGTTAATGATGACTGGCCTCACGCTAATTGAGGTTAACCGTTGCCCTATTTAACAACGCATTAATCGGGTACGAGCTTGCGTTGCGAATCCATAATGGTGTTTTCGGCCGGCATGCCACTCCCTACGGTTCGCAATCCGACGTTTGCGACTTAAAATCCCAGGTTGAGGCTCAACTCGCCCGACCCCGCTGTCCCGACAGAGTTGATGCTTGGTGGTGGTACTTGGCCCTCACCATGGGAATGTGGAATCGTCACCGCTCGGATCAGGGCCGTTAATGGAGGTGGCTGCTGTTGCGTGCCCAGGGGAACGCGTTTAAGATGTTGGTACGTCGGGCGTTAGTGTTGTGTACGGCTTAAGAGTTTTCGACGTGTCGCGGTAACGAGTGTTTACTATCGCTTACTGCCGTAACTCCTTTGTTTTCTGTCATTTTAGGGACCCTTCATTGGAAATCGATGGAACGGTGAAAAAACATTGCAGGTGCGGCACGTATGAAATACGAGATGCACATGTTGAACGAATTGATTTAAACAATCGTGTCTAAATGGCATTACGATTTTCGAAAGGAAAGGCATCTGATGTATAAAATAAATAAATATATAACCTATGGGGAAAGAAAAAAAAAGAGAATTGATAGGCAGCAAGGCAAGGCAGCAATCTGAAGAGAGTGCGAGAGAGATAGAAGGACAGGGAGCTTTGAATAGCAGCCATAAGCAGCGACAATAGGAGGCTGACACACCACATTATACACCGCCACGGCCAGAGGCAAGAGGACCGCATCAAGCAAATTGTTCAATAGAGATTTTTCAAACGGGACTGGGGGGGGGGGCGTGGGGAGAGCTAGAAGGGAGATAGGAGGACAGGTTGGTGTTGGGGTGGAGCACGGAGGAGCGGAGCGGCATGGGGAGGAAGCTGGACCTGTCGGGGCTGACGGAGGACGAGGCGCGACTCGTCCTGCGCGTCGTGGAGAGGGACGGGAGAGTCCGCCAGCGCGAGACCGAGCGGCTCAAGTGAGTACACGACCCCGAGCGGTGAGGGTCGGGGGGGTGGCTGCTGTCATGATCACTGACATTCGTCACGGTCGTTATCCGTCATTGGAATCATCATCATGGTCATCGTCTTTCCATACAATCGGTCATCGTTAATCATTCACTATGGTGGTCATTGTTCATTGTGATAATTATCATCATCGTAATCATTCTCATGATTATTATTATTATCATCATCATCATTTTTTATAATCATCATTATCCACATTATCATCATTCATCACGATCGTCATTATTCATTGCGATTATCACCATCATCTGTCATTAATGACAATCACCATTCATCATTATCGTGATCATCTGTCATGTTCATGGCCACCACCATGTTAGAGCCGTGATCATTGCCACCATCGTCATCACCGCCACCATTTTCATTACCACTATTATACCCCTATAATTATCTTCATCATCACTACCACTGTTATCATCATCACCATCATAATCTATACATATATGATGTACAATTCCGAATGCAGGTCTCAATGCACAGCCTTTGATGAGGTATATGCTTTTCATCATCTATGTGATTTTAATTCATTAATTCAAGTTTAAAATCGTGGGAATTTGGCAATTAAAACCAGAATAAAAAAACACTTAATAATAGGACAGGTTGGCAAAACAGTGAATGGCACGCACACACACACATACACACATACACACACACGCCACACGGGAAAAGCAATTCCATTTCGATTTGAGACAACCACAAAAAAATATACGACACGGTTGTGACCGGCTAAAAATAAATCCATTTACACGTAATGACACAGCACTCGCTCAACCCCGCTTCACTCGGGCCCCACCGCAGCATTCGCAAGCACGTCCCGACTATCGCCCTGCGGTCAAGCGTGGCGCCGATGTCGCGGCGCTGACCGTGTGTCACAAGCTGCCGGGCACACGCCGAGGTCGTGCGGAGTCGCATCGGCCAAATTGATGGGAAAGCCACGCGGTCGGAAGTTCGCGACGTGGATCGTTGGCCGATCGCCCCGAGTGGACCTCCGGATGCCACCTTTACCTTCTGCGATACGGATGTTGCGTTTTTTTTTATTTTTTTTATCTTTTTGACATGACTTCAACTGGCACGTTCACATTTTCAAGCCCCACCGCCCTTCTCTGTGCAGCCCTCGACCTGTTGCGCCCAGTCTCACTCCTTTTCCCTTCTTGCTTCCCTCCACTAGAACCAAATAAACAATCATCTTCACGAGCTTGCTTCCATTCCTTCCTTAAAACAACCCCTATCTCTTGCCCATCATTCTGATACCCCCCACCGCCTCCTAGCTACCAGGCCTACTCCAACCCTAATCACTACCCCAACGCCTATCACTACTCCAGACTATATCACTACCCCTATCACTATCCCAACGCCTATCACTACCCCAACCACTATCACTACTCCAGACCCTATCACTACCCCTATCACTACCCCAACGCCTATCACTACCGTTATCACTACCCCAACCACTATCACTACTCCAGACTCTATCATTACCCCTATCACTACCCCAACGCCTATCACTACCCCAACCACTATCACTACTCCAGACCCTATTACTACCCCTATCACTACCCCAACGCCTATTACTACCCCTATCAATACGCAAATTCCTATTACTACCCCAACCTCTATCACTACGCCTACCCCTATCACTACCCCAACCAAACCACACCCTCACAAGCCCCAAACACACAACCACTCTGGGACATGTGGAAAAATGGATACACCTCAACCCCCACCCCCCACACACACATACACACCTAACCCCGCCGTCCCTACACATACACACCGAACCCCACACGCTAAACCACACTGAGCAACAACATGCGCGCACTAAACAAAGACAAAACATCTCCCGTGTGGCCTTAACAGACTGTTGGGGCAAGTTCCTTTAGAGAACACCTATGAAGGCCGGCACGGCACACGAGGGGGTGCATGACCAGCACCACGCCCGGCCGCCTTTGTCTCCCTAGTGGCGATGTTTACACACTGTGCTAGGCACTCATTTTAGGCCGAGTCGACCTAGGGGAGGCCCAGGACCGGTTCAGATAATCGTCACTGGTATTGGCCGTGAGCGGGAATCCAACTCGGGTCACCGGGTTCGTCGTGCAGCGTAGCGCTAACCGCTTCCACCACCGCTCCGCTCACCTAACCGTGCCCGTGTCACCACACAAACACACGCACGAACGCCCACACGTACCCAAACACACGTGTACACACGCACATACACACGGAAGCGCAGACGCACTCACTCAGACGAGCCGAAAATAGAAAGTTTGGAGTTGAGCTGACCGCAGTATTGGCCGAGTGGTTCAAGTCAACAACACAGAGGCACGTTCACGTCAGATTTTGAGCTCGGCCACTCGTGCACAGTCGCAGCCACCGCAGTTAGCCATCGAGGCTCGTGTGCAACCGCATTTACTCTTGTGTGGATGTGGCTTGGGGTGTAAGGTTTCTGGCTCAGAATTGAGCCGGTTCTTTTCATAGGGCAGTAGGTCCCAAATGCCTGCCGGTAAGGGGTGAATTTAGCCCGTCGTCATCGTCATCGACATCATCAACGCCATCATTCATCTCCTTTAGAGTCTATAAGAAGCCGTGTACCACATTGTGGGGAAGTTAGCAGTGTTTATTCTACAGGGATGCTGGCAACCATCAAATCCAGCGGCCGCCTCCTGGTTATTACTGCGGCGTGTGTATTAACCGTCGTCATATGGGCACTTGACAGTGGATGTTAAAGATTCATCCCCCCCCCCCACCGACGTTGTTTGGGATAGGTCGGCCACTGTGTGTTGCCGGTGTCACGGTCCCGATTTTTCTTCTTCCAAATTCGAAAACCGCCCGTGAATTACTCAATCGCAGACCAATGCCCCAGGTTACTCTTGCAAAAATTAGATTGATCCTGGTGTCACTTGATTAAACAAAATTAACTTCAACCTGAGCTACAATTGCCTTAAATTGGCAATTACTCAGGGGACCAAAGCCCCTCCCCCCTCCCAACTCTTGCAATGGTGAGAATCGTCGAATAGACTGTTGGGACAAGTGTTGCTCGTGAGCACCTATGAAGACCAGTACGGCACACGAGGTGTTAGGTGGTCAGCACTTCGCCTTTGTCTCCCCTAGTGGCGATATTTACACATCACGCCACGTACTCATTTAAGGCTGGATCGACCTAGGGGAGGCCCAGCACCGGTTACAATACCCGTCGCCGACGTTGGCCCAATGAGCGGGAACCGAACTCGGGTCGGCGGGTTCATAGCGCGCCGTGCTAACCCGCTTCGCCACCGCTCCCCGCAACATTTCCACGTGCGCGCACACACGCTAATACCTCTACGTCATCTCGCAGCTGTCTTTTAATTCGTGGGAGTCCTTGCGGGACCCACGTCCGCATTTGTCAGCCGGTTGCATTTACAGCTCATTTAAATGCATTGCACTCGAAGGCAGTTTCCTGTCCCCACTCCAGATTTGACCCCCTCCCTCCCACCCTCCCGCGCTCTCCCCCGATACCTTTGAGGGGCCAGGTGGACTCCTCTGCATGAAATTGAACACGCACATCGCCCTTCACGGTGCAGGCGGCAGGGCCAGAGAGGGCCCTCGGCGGCATCGGCTGTTTGGTAATTCAGTCCGTCTTCTGCGGAACCGTGTGACGTGCGTAGGACGTTCACCATCGGGCGCTTTCTTCTTCCCCATCCCGTGATACACAATGTGCCAGCGAGACAGCTGATCGTTTTACACGTCCCCCCCCCCACCCTTTTTGCACGGGCGCACGTTTGAATAGACATTGATTGGACCGGCGGGGAAGGGGAGCTCTGCTGTACTCGTCGGAAGCCTTTGTGACTCTCGTCCCCTGAGCAAGCCTAGGTGGGTCTGCTGCGGTTGATACTTTACAATAACCACGGCCAAATCCAACCCCGCTTCCGCCACGGACGACTTCACTTTTAAATTGACCACCGCTTAAAGATTCGTGTGTAACTGCGCCCACGGAGAGACCATGCAAACTCCAAACATACAGGCGTCAGAGTAGGGATTGAACATGGACATCTGTGAAAAAAAGAGCTTTATAGTTCATTGGATTCCTCCAGTATAAATAAATATTCTGATTCTCTGATCCTGAACCCACGACCTCCTGTAGAGCAGGGCTCGCCACCAAGGTGCCCTCCATTGGCCGTGCGGATCAGCTCCAGGTCGACCGCCCCCCCCTACACCCACCCCCCCCCCGGATTTAATCCTCACCCATGGTCAACGGCGGCCTCATTGCGCCAGGTGGGGGGGAGGCAGATGTGTGGGGGGGACAGAGGGGTGGGGGGGGCAGACGGGTGGGGGGCCAGAGGGGTGGGGGGGGCAGAGGGGTGGGGGGGGCAGAGGGGTGGGGGGGGCAGAGGGGTGGGGGGGGCAAAGGGGTGGGGGGGGCAAAGGGGTGGGGGGGCAGAGGGGTGGGGGGAGTGGTGGTGGGGCTGTGCGTGGCTTCCGTAAATCGGTGGCGTGTTTATGAAACTCAAAGTGGCCACTTAGCGTGAGATTTAACGTCGCAACGTATTCAGGGTTAACGGCGGGGGGCGGGGGGATGACAACGTTCCACGCTTGTGCGCGGATAGTGGAGTCGGGTGTTGGAATAAATACGAAACGTCGTTGACGGTTTGTTTTGTAACCCCCATTTTTTTTATCGCTGCCTTTTAATGAAGCGAGCCGGAAGGCGACAAATCTCTCGACTCGGCTGACACGGAGAATGGACGTTAAAGTGGAAGACGGATGATAAATTGCAAATTCATCCGTGTTTTTATTCTTCTTTTAAATCTATCCCCCCCCCTTCGTAGACTTTAAATTGAGTTGTTTGCTCGGAGTTTTGTTGTTGTTGAGCGCAATCGCATAGGAGAGACGCGGGGGTCGTAAATCTCCCCCGCGTTTCGCAAACATCACCGCAGATGTAAAAAAAAAGGAAAAATATTAAAAGTAAGCAAGAGCTGCGCGC